CATAGATGGGATAGCTGGAAGAGGAAACCAGGAGGAAAAATCCAGCACAGCACAGCTCTGGGGGGAAAACCACAAATGCTTTATTATTAGTATTTGACTTACTTTTGTTTTTTAATCCTGGTGGTTTGGGGCTTGGACAGATACAGCTTGCACACAAAATTGCCAGGGTAGGAGAAGTTAGCATTATTTTTACATCTTGGAAAATCCACTGGATTTCCCTATTGTGTGGACAGGTTTTTCCTTCAGCTGTTGAAAGAGAAGTGAGCAGCTTCAGCCCAGAGAGAGGACCCCAGCCAGCCCTGTAGAGCCCAGGACACTGCAGACCACAGGTTTCTGCTGCACTGCAACAATCCAGAAGGTTTCTTCCTTTCCTTGTTGATCCAGAGCAAAGCTGGTGGGAGAAGGTGACTTTATGGCCAGATCTTGGCCTTTGGAGAAGCTGGAGCAGCCTTTGTCTGCAGGATGCTGTCTTGTTCCTGCAGCTTGTGTTGGCTCCTGCTGCTCCCCACTGCCACACAGGCATGTGTGTGAATGGTGGCCTGGTGCATGGAGAATGTAGATGTGGGCCCAAACCTGCGTCTCAGGAGGACCTTTTGTACCACTACAGTTCACAGCATTAGGTTGGAATGAGCCTGTTTGGTTGGGGTTGTTCTGCCCCCCCCATCTCTTGCTCCTTTTATAGCTCCCACACCCCAAATGAGTTGTTTGCCTCCTGAAACTGCTTAACCTGGAAGGTCCCTGATCAGGACCATGCATGAGTACCAAGAGTTGTCCTGCTTAGTTGGGTCCCTGGAGGCCTTATGTAGGGGGTGGGCTGGATGGAGAGGGGCCCCAGCAGTCCTGTAGTGGTCTCCATGCACTAGGAAGCACTCATGCATCAGGAAGCTTGTTTAGGGATGCCCTGGTCCTCCTGCCCTGTGTCCCTTGCATGCCATCACTCCCGCCTCCAGCTGGACCATGCCCATGACAGGGATCTCCTGTGGGAAGCCTGGTGAGGTTTTCCATGCCCCTCATTTTGGGAAACCTCTGTGTCATGGCACAGCGTGTCCCTGTTTGGGATGAGCAGTGTTGGCTGCCACACTAGAGACTGGAATCCATTTCTAACTGCAAACCTTTGGAGCTGTCATCTGGGACCATCTGTACTTGCTTTAAAGATGTTGGATCTTGCTTTGTTTTCAGACTTTTGATCTCTTTGCAAGCTGAGACTTTATCTGCCTCTTCCAGTTTTAAAATGTATTGGGGTTTGGTTTCAGCTGTGTAAGGCCACTGGTTGCTTTTTGGTCTGCATTTTGGGTTTGGGAGCCAGCTGATGGGTCATCTTTTGGGACATCAGAGTATTTGGGATTATTTTTAGCTTTTAATTGGCAGTGATCTGTACTTGGAGCTGTGTAGTGTCAAGGGCTTTTCTTCCTTGTGCTCTCAAGAAGCTTGCTTTTCTCTTTCATCTGCATGCAGCTGTATTTCTTGCTCACAAAGCACAGAGTACACGGGGAAAACAGCTTCAAGTAACCAGCCCAAAGACTTGTGGAGATAAGGGCTCGCTGTGGTCAAGCCTCCATGGCTGGTAGCAGCATCCTGAGGGTGCTGCCTGGTCCAGAACGCCTGGGCTCTGTTCCAAGAAGCACCATGGACCTGCTCCTGACCTTCACTCCCTGCTCTGGGCTGCTATTTTTGCCTCCTCTTCCCCTCTTTTGTCTTGCCCCGTTTAATTGTAACCTCTTTTGGACAGGAACACAGCGTGGGTAGCAAAGGCCTAGAACAATGTGCCCCAGATGGTGGTGTGCAAGCATTTTATGCTTGCAGATGTGGTCAGGAACTTGCTGAGCCTCAACACTGCAGTCTCCAGGTCTCAGAGACGAGGGCTAGCACCAGAATCACAGCTGCTGCTTCGTTTTACTTAAAACAACAAACCATCCCCAATCCCTTTTTCTCACCCCCTGACTGCAGGGAAAAGCCTGGAGATGTGACTGGAGCAGCCCTGGCATGCTCAGAACTACGGGGCAAGTAGAAAGAACCCAGTGTTGCATCAAACCCAACATGAACCCCTTCGGGTTTCAGCCATTGCTTGGCCATGGGTTTGCCCCTTCACTGTCTGTGGGTCTGTTTTGGGGAGTTGCTGAAGGCACTTGCACTTGGCTGCAGCTCATTTCCCTTTCAGGCTCCCTGCCTTGGAGCACTTGCAGTGCAGACGCTGCAGGACAGCACTCCTTTGGCTGAAGACCTCACTTTGAAATTTCTTCTACCAAATTTCAGGCCAATTTTGTATTTTTTTCCTTATTCATCCCTCTCCCTTCCCTCCAAAGAGAGAAAGAAGTTTTCCTACTCTCATCTTGCATCAGATTTGATACCAGGCCAACAAATCCAGCCTCGAAGGTGCTTTTCTGAGGCTGCTTGCCTCGATGTGACCTTCTGGGTGAGGATTCCTGTTCAAAAATGCAACTATTGATTATCAGGGGCATCTTCCCCATGGTGCTGCTCCCCTGGGCTGGCAGGACAGGGCAGTGTGAGGCCCTGCTGCCCATGCAGAGGCTGCTGTGTTGTGACAAACACCGGTTTTGCAGGGCTGTTCGCTCCAGAGCAGTGGCAGTCCTGGGGTTTTACCAAAGGTTTCTGTTTCTAACTAGGTTGTTCTCAGTTCTAAAGGCCAGAGATCTCTTTATGGCACAGAGTGGAAAACCTGACCAGTCCCTGGATGGTGGGTCCTGCTTTGGTGCTGAGGTGCAGTGAGCTGATGCCTCTCCTGGGTGCTCTTTGGAGGTAGAAATAGATTCCTGCCAGCCCTGAGCTCCCCATGGCTCATCCCGGGGGGAAGCATCGCTCGCCCCAGCCTGACTCAGCCACGGCTTCCTGCTGCTCTGCCCGCCCCGCTTTGGGAAAGCAGGAATTGCATTGCAGGGCTGGGGGCTGTCTGGAACTGGGCTTTGGAGCTGGGAGCTTTGAGCAGAGCTGCTCTCAAAGCTGGGCTTTGCTGGAGAGTCTTGCCTGTGTTCGTCCGGGTGGGGGGAGGACAGTGCAGCCTCCCAGTGCTCACAGGAAACAGGCTTAATTTTCCCATTCTGTTGGGTCTGTGTCTCTTCGTTGTCTGAAATTCCCTTGCAGAGACTGGCCCATAACTCTTGTAAACCAAATAACCCCAAGCGTGGGGGCTGGAACTCCCTGGGCTCTGGCTGCCGGCCGCCTGACTCTATGCAAACAGTCTGGGCCTGAAATCCCCCGGGAAGGAACATAAAGGTCTGATTCAAACCCAAAACGGGATGTGAAGGAACGTGTCCCACGCATCCCGCTGCCTCCCCTTGCCCCGTATGTGGCTGCTGGTTCCCAAAATGCCTGGGGAGAGCTATGCTGTGCCACCTGCTCCGGCAGCTCCTTGCTCCTGCATGTCCTTGCCTGAGGGCGAGAGGTGGGGAAAAGCAGGAGAGGGGTGGGAGGGCATGGCCATGCACCGAACCTGGAGCGGAAACCATTGGGGGAGCAAAGAATGAGCAGGATATCACGTGTGGGCCGTGTGCGCGCAGGGCTGGGGAGAACAAAGCGCAGGGAAGCCCTGCTCCAGAGCTGCTCCCACCCCACTTCCTGCTGGCATGGAACCCAGGCTGCTGCCTGCCCCTCGCTGCCTGGCTCTGGGCAGGCTGGAAGGTTCAGCATGCCTCAATTTCCCTCTGCCAAGATGAACTGGGTGCAGCAGGGTGGTCCCCAGGGGCTGACCTGCTGTGAGTGGCCCTGGAAGACCAGGCTGCTGTGCTCTGGGGTTGCTCCAGAGGTGCTGTGGGGGAAGAAGGGGGCTCCCATCCCACGGGAAGGCCTCGTTCCCCAGTACTTGAACTTTACCTGAGTCTTACAGCCAGCTCTGGGGCAGCAGCACAAGAGGGATGTGGGGCTGTTGGAGTGAGGCCAGAGGAGGCCACGGAGATGCTGCGAGGGCTGGAGCAGCTCTGCTCTGGAGCCAGGCTGAGAGAGCTGGGCTGGGGCAGCCTGGAGAAGAGAAGGCTCCTGAAGGGGAGACCTGAGAGCAGCTCCAGAGCCTGAAGGGGCTGCAGGGAACCTGGAGAGGGGCTTTGGACAAGGGCCTGTAGGGACAGGCCAAGGGGGAATGCCTCAAGCACAGGGCCTCTCCCAACATCTCTGGCACAAAAGGTCCTGGCCCTTCTGCAGCGGAGGCCGATGCTGGGGGCAGTGCTGTGACTCAGCTGGGCACAGCCTCTGCACAAGCAGCATTCAGAATATCCTCTTTTCACTTCGTAGGAAGGGGCACGCCTGGTGTGGTTTGTGTTGTGGTGCAGAGGATTATGTGTGTCTTTTCTTCATCAGGGGCTGTAGTGATAGGACAAGGGGTAATGGGTTACAAGTAAACCAGGTGATGTCCAGGTTAGATACAAGGAAGAAGCTCTTCCCTGTGAGGGTGCTGAGGCGCTGGCACAGGGTGCCCAGAGAAGCTGTGGCTGCCCCATCCCTGGCAGTGTTCAAGGCCAGGTTGGACACAGGGGCTTGGAGCAAGCTGCTCCAGTGGAAGGGGTCCCTGCCTGTGGCAGGGTTTGGAGCTGAATGAGCTTTAAGGTCCCTTCCAGCCCAAACTATTCCATGGTTCGATTTTCCTCTACTCTTGGGGTAGGGGGGGATCAAGTCTGACCAGCAGCAGCTTGGCCCTGAGCAGCTTTGCTGGTACCTCTGAAGGTCCAGGCTGCCATCAGCCCTTCCCCATGGGGACACTGTTCTCCCCACATGACTCTCTGCTGGCTCTAACGTGGTGATGAAGTGTTTCACCTCCTGCCCTGGCCAGATTGTGATTTAGTTGTGCCTGCATCATAGATGTGAGGCCCCCCTGTGATGCTCCTGCTACCCCAGCTTCTCCCACCCCTTGGCTGCAGCATCCCTTCATCATTGTGGGTTACCTGTAACGCAGGGGAGGTGTTGGAGGGGCTCTGGGGGTAGGAGCCTGGAGCCTCCCATTGTCTTCTGCCCCCGTGTTTCCTTGTGCTGATTTTCTCCCTCTCCTCTTACAGCTGGGAGCCCGAGGAGCCGCGCTGGGAGGACCCTCTCCACAGGATGTTCTCCCCACCAAAGACCTCCCTGTAACAGGCGACGATGACAATCCCGGCCGGACCTTGGGAAGCACTAACATTTCAGTAGCCCAGCACCCTTGTGTGGCCGCCTCCCCCGTCTCCTCCACAGCCAGCCCTCCCACTGCTCCCCGGGATGGTGTATTAACCAGGAAGAGCCCTGCTTCTGTCCTCCTCACCCCTCAACTTTCGGCAGCTCTGGGATTTGTATGGCAGCAGCGTAACCGTGGAGAGGCCGGGGTATCACAAACTTATGGATTTTGATAAGAGAGGAGGGAAAGGGGAGCTGGAGGAAGGTAAAAGGATGTCCAAGGCAGGCGGAGGAAGGAGCAGTCATGGAAGCCGGAGTGCTGGAACCAACTCGGGAGTCTTAATGGTGGGTCCCAACTTCCGGGTCGGCAAGAAGATTGGATGCGGCAATTTTGGAGAGCTCCGTCTAGGTGAGAAAGGTCATCTTCTGTTCTCCCTGGGCCCTGGCATCCTGCTCAGGCAGCAGGAGGGTGCCTGTGACCATCAGCACCAAGGGTGTTGACCGGCCATCCAGTGTTGAAGCCTTGCACATCGCAGGTGGCCCCTGCTTCCTTCACGGATTTCCTCAGCCCCTTCATGCTGTGTTCAGTCTTTCAAAGCCTGTCAGATCCAAAGGACCCAATCCAGACATGGTGCCCATCTCCTCCCCATACCTGTTAACTCTTGTGTTTGTCAGGGAGAGCGTTACAGCTCAGTCCTGTCTGTTGGTGGTGGCCTGTGCAGGCCTGGATGTGTATGTCCCGTCCCCCCTCAGTCCAGGAACACTTAGCAAGCAGTGTTTCATGGGATGCTGCTGTGTCCTCACTAGCTGCACCATGTGCCTCGGGAGGTGGGTTCTGCTGGGAAGAGTCAGTGTTTTATCCTGGGTGAACTCTCTGGTTGTTAAAGCTGGGTGTTCAGAGACTCCCCTCACGTTTTATGCAGGTGAAAGAAAGGGCTGAATGAAACCCAGACACCTCCCATGGTCACTTTCCATGCTGATCCAAGTCTGGCAGGTTCAAGCAGACTCTTTGTTCGGAGGGTGGGTAGGTTGCTCCTGTCCCAGGAGGCTTCCAGCAAGCTGTCAACTCTTGGGTTGGCATCAGGCAGCTGGGAGAGGTGGCAGTGCCCAGCAGCGTGGTCAGGATGTCCCCAGGAATGCCCATGGAACATGCCGATGGAGCATTGGCCTTGGCTGTGAGTGCTTTGGGAAGGGGCAGAGGGAGCCTGGGGCAGCAGTTGCCTTGTTGCTCTGTGCTATGTTAAGCAGCACCTTTTGAAGCCCAGCTCGGTGCTCTCCCCACAGGGACATGGTGATCTGGGCAGGGTGTTTGCCTGAGGAGGAGCAGGAGGTGGGGGGCTGCAGGTACTGTATAGAGGGTGGGGAGAGTTTTCCCACCTCGCTGGGCTGCCCCTATCTGCAGGGAGTTAATGGTAGAGCTCTTCCCAGCTGACAGACTGGCTGGTGCCAGGCTGAACTGTCCCGATCCCGAATTCCCTATGGGATCACCACTTAATTGCAGAGCTTGGGAAAACACTGTTTAAAACCCAGCCGAGAGGTTCCCACATTCAGCAGTGGAGGATCTGTTTCTGCCAGTGCTGAAGAGAGACCCAGGGGTTGCTCTAAGTGGGATCAGTTTCAATTGACTCTGAAACAGCTGGGGCCGTGGCTGTTCTCTGATGTGCTCAGTGCTGAGGGTGGCTGGGACCCCTGCCTTGGCCTCCCCCTTGCTTTGTGGGGACAGCACCGAGGTGGACACGAGTCTCCCAGGGGATCTGAGGAGCATCTGCGAAGCTGGCAGTGAGGGCTGCTCAGAGCAGAGCTGCTGCAGGGCTTTGGGAGCAGTGTGCTGTTTGCTCGTGGCTGAAGGGATGAGCTCTCACTCTGGGGCTCTGCAGTGGTCGATTCTTGCTGTGAGAGTTTGTCCTTGCCATCAGCAAGAGAAGCTTCTGATCCCTCACATGGTTTTGCTGCCCTGTTGCACTCTTGTAATGCCTGGCTGTAGCATGGTAAAGGCCTGAGCAAAGGATCTCATCACAGCAGTGAAAGCCACAGCTATGTGGCTTTTCTCCTAAAATCACATCTCTCTTCCTTAGGTGTGCCTCTGAGCTGCATCAGGGCTCAGGAATGCATTCAGCACCTCACAGAAAGGAGGGATTCCTCCAACTGCAGATGAATGGCAAGGGACCAGAGGGATCCTGCTGTGAAGTGGTGGCATGAGCAGGAATGCTCTCCAGCTGTTGCTGGACACCCAGTTTTCCCTTGGGAATGGGATTCCTTGAGGGATTCATTCCCTGAGGAATTCATTCCTCAAGGCAGGCTGGCTGCAAACTGTAGCTCAGTGTTTAAAAGCTCCCACATCTTCTTTGGACATTTGCCTTTCAATAAAATAAAAGGCAGGAGGTGCCTCCTCAGCTCCCAGGGCTCGGGAATGCAGGAAGATGAGGTTGTCTTCCCAAAGCAGGTGGGTGCTGCTCTGTCCTTCAGGTGCCGCCGCTCAGCTGCCCTGGACCAAAACAAGTGTCATCCTAGGGGCAGAGGTGTCCAAAATCAAACGTGGTTTGTGGCCTTTGTGGGTAGCCAGCAGAGGAATGACTTGGGCAGGAGTTCCTGGCTGCCAGAGCCATGCTGAGTTCCTGCCCCTCCATGTTCATCCTGGTCTTGGAATGCTGGGTGATGCACAAGCATAGTGCCAGTCCCTGTCTCCTGGGCAGCACCCACTGCCTTCAGCCCCTGTGGTCCCCCCTGCTCATCTGCTGCCTCCTGGCCAGGGCACAAGGCAGGAGGAAGCTGGTGGCAGCAGGGGTGACTGGAGCATGGCTGGTGGCTCCCATGCCTGCAGCCCAGTGCCTCTGTCAGCTCCCTGTGTCCTCAGGAGTGAGGCTCTGCTCGCAGCAGGGCCTCATGGCGGTTCCTCTGTGGTGCTTTGGGGTGGGCTTGGAGAGGAGGACTCTAACCCAGACACTAATCAGGCAGCCAGGGCGGTGACCAGCATCCTGGCCTGGATCAGCACCAGTGCGGCAGCAGGACCAGGGCAGGGATTGTGCCCCTGTACTGGGCTCTGGTGAGGCCGCATCTTAAATCCTGTGTTCAGCTCTGGGCCCCTCACTGCAAGAGAGACATTGAGGTGCTGGAGCAGGGCCAGAGAAGGGCACTGGAGCTGGTGCAGGGCCTGGAGCCCAAGTGTGATGGGGAATGGCTGAGGGACCTGGGAGGTTCAGATGGAGAAGAGAAGGCTCAGGGGGGACCTGATGGCTCCCTACAAGTGCCTGAGAGGAGGATGGAGCCAGGAGGGGCTGGGCTCTGCTCCCAAGGAGCAAGGGATGGGACAAGAGGCAGCAGGCTTGAGCCCCTCTGGCTGCAGAGCCCATCCCTGGGAGGAGCTGCTCCATTAATATCCCCCATTCATCCCTCTTCCCGTAATCCTGCCACCAACTCTGGCGCTCAGCAGCTGGCTCTGGTGTCAGCCGGCGAGGATTTATTGCTGCTTCAGGTGCAGAGCAGCAGTCAGAGCACATGAAATCTTATGCCAGGAGGAGTTTGTTCCCTGAGCAAATTGCTTGGAGCAGATCCGAGCAGACAGATGCAGCTCCCTCAGCCACGCACACACCCGGCAGTGTGGCTGCAGCTCTGCTGCCCTGCAGGGAACCTGCTGCCTTAACTCCCATCTCCCCGGGGCCCTGAAGGGCACAAGGGGCCCTCAGAGCTATTTCTGCAAACCTCTTCAGTCTTTTAGCCTTTATGGATGTGGGGCAGAAGTTGCACTGATGGGTGTGATACCTTCCTTATGCTCCCTGCTTGGCTGTCCCAGCCTGGGTGAGCAGGATGATGTGCACACCCCACTAGCTCCGCTTTTCTGTAGTTATGGGGATGTGTTGAGTGTTAAGTGCCATGAAGGTGCTGAGCTCTCTTGGAAGTCATTTCTGGATTTTGGGGTGTCCTGGCTGCCCTTGCAGCTCTCCTGGGTGCTTGGAAGCACTTGTCTGACCCTCCCTGCAGCACATTGGTGTCTTCAGCTCCCCCTCATGCATGGGTCTGCTCCTGGCTTCCCTTGCACCCTGGGGTGGGTGGGAGCATCCCAAAGGATTCTCCCGTGGATGTTTGTGCCATCCCTAGGAGTGACCCCACGCCTGGGGAAGGGATTTCCACCTTACTTACTGTGTCTTCAGACCCTTCCTAGCTGCAAAGCCTTGAGCTGCCCCCATGCTCCTGGGGGTCTTTCCTTCCTGCCACCCTCTGCGTGGTCCCAAGGGCAACAGAGCAGCATCCCCAACTCTGGACAGCCCTCCCAGAGTAGGGTGGCCCCTCTGCATGCAGGGCTGGGGCAGGGAGAAACATCAAGCCCAGCCTTGCTCCTGCCTTGGCCAGTCTCATCCCTGCAGGTGTGGATTGGGAAGCTGCCCCCTCCCAGCAGCACTGCCCATCCCAGAGGAATCCATGTACCCCATCTGGGGGTAATTACCAGGCATGTTGCAACTCCCCACAGTGGGCTCCTGCTCTGCCTGGTTCCTTGAGGCCTGTTTATGTGTTGTGGGAGCTGCCGAACCTGTTCAGGATGTTCTGCAGCCCCTGGGGCCTGGGCAGGCTGTGCAGTGGGGTTGATGCAGCAGCTCACTTGCTTTCAATTGCCTTTTTGGTGTCTCCCCCTGCAGGAAAGAACCTCTACACGAACGAATACGTAGCTATCAAATTGGTGAGTGCCTCTGTGCTCGGGGTGGGATGGTCAGGCCGTCTGGGAAGGATTGTTGGTGGTACCCAGGCTGTCGGGGCAGGGTGGGTGGCTGTGAGGAGCTGTGCTCGCTGCAGGAATTGAGGGCAGGTTAAGTAGTGCACATCACTGCACGTGGGGTGATGTGGACCTGGGGCTTTGCTGTGGCCTGTGCCTGCACTCAGCTGGTGCCAGCAGCAGAGAGACCTCCGGGAGAGGGTGATCCCCACTTATACCTACACCCGCTAATGTCTGCCCTAGCACCTGGATCTCTCTGGAGAGGGATGTTGGTCTGGCTCCTGTATGGACCGGTTTTCTCCCATCATCCCATTTTATACCGGTATTTCTCAAGTCCAAATGCCCTTAGTCCAGCTGCTGCCAGCATGTGAAGGAGGTGTCTGGCACCCTGACATCCTGCTCCCTACAACAGCCTTAACTGTTCTCCTTCTCTCCTCCAAGGAACCCATAAAATCCCGGGCCCCCCAGCTGCACCTGGAGTACCGGTTCTACAAACAGCTCGGCAATGCAGGTACGGTGACACTGCAGGGAAAGAGCCTTCCTTTAAATGTGACTCTGCCCCTTTGCTCCCTGGCCTGAGCACCTCCTGCCCATCTGCTCGCCTGGGGGAGGTTGGTTTTACCCAGAGCCACATCTAATCTTTGATCCCTTTTTATTGAGTTCTTTCCCCCCCACCTCCCCCCGCGGCAGGCAGAGGGATGTAGGGATGCAGATGGAGCTGCCTCCTTTGCCCTCCAGCTAAGAGCAGAGCCAGGCTGTATGCAGCTGGGAGGGAGGGCAGTGCAGAGCCATCCTCCCATCTGCAGCCCCCTGCCCCAGCTCCAGCAATGGCATAGCTGTGACAGCATAGCCGTGTTGCCACGCTGCTCAGCCCTGTTGCAAGCCCTGACAGCCCCTGCTCTGTCTCTTGCAGAAGGAATTCCTCAGGTTTACTACTTTGGCCCCTGTGGGAAGTACAATGCCATGGTGTTGGAGCTGCTAGGACCCAGCCTAGAAGATCTCTTTGATCTGTGTGATCGGACCTTCACGCTCAAGACTGTCCTGATGATTGCAATCCAGCTGGTGAGCGCAGCACCTCCACTTCACCCACAGCTCCACACAGCTCATCCCAGCCTGGCCACAGCCCACCCTGGGCTGGCTGGGCAGTCTGGGGACCCCACAGGGAAGGAGATGGGAAGGAGGAATGAACGAGTGCCTGGCAGGCTGCAGGAGACCCTGACTGCTGGCACATCCCAGCCCACCTCGTCCATACCTCACTCTCTCCCTGCTGTAGGAGAGCTCTCCCTCACCCTCATGCAGCACAAATGAGCATCTCTCACTGTGCGTCCAAAATGCAGCCAGACTAAAGTTGTCTCCCCGGGCTGGAGGGTCTGTTGTGCCCATCCTTTCAACCCAGGGTGACAGGAGCAGGGCTGCTGGCTGGGGCTGAGGGTATCAGAAAAGGGTGCAGGGAGGCATGGGGGACACATGGTGCATCTCTGCCATGGTGCTGACGTCTCCTTCTGCCCCTAGATCACACGGATGGAGTATGTCCACACCAAAAGCCTGATCTACAGAGACGTCAAGCCAGAGAACTTCCTGGTGGGGCGGCCGGGCAGCAAGCGGCAGCACACCATCCACATCATCGATTTTGGCCTGGCCAAAGAGTATATTGACCCCGAGACCAAAAAACACATCCCTTACCGAGAGCACAAGAGCTTGACAGGGACAGCACGCTACATGAGCATCAACACCCACCTTGGGAAAGGTGTGTGTGGCCAGCCCTGCCTCTTGGGCAAAAGGAGCAAGGAAGGGCACTTGCTGGGGGACAAAATGCCTCTCCTGCTCTTCAGCCTGGGGTGTTGGCAGGGGACTTGGGGTGCTGCAGGGTCTGGCAGGGACAGTGGCTGTAGTGGGAACGTGCCCATGTTTCTCTTTTTCTCTATGCAGAACAAAGCCGCAGGGATGACCTGGAAGCATTAGGGCACATGTTTATGTACTTCCTCCGTGGGAGCCTTCCTTGGCAAGGCCTCAAGGTAACAACCACCCCCCGCTGTCCCTGGGGGTGTGGCTCTGCCCTGGCATGGCCAGCATCGGGGAGTGGGGGGAAGCAGTGGCCCTTGGGGTGTCACAGAGTCAGCATGCAGCCAGATGCAGGGGTTGCTGCTCTGTGCGAGGCCCTTGCTGTGCTGTTCTGAGCTCCGTGCCAGGCCATTGCTGTGCCATGTCCCCCTCTCTGTACCACCCCCTCTCCCATTTTGTGGGCATCCCAACTGCTCTCACAGTGGCTGCCTTGGAACTGCACTCCCTGGTGTTTGTCCTCCAGACCTGCCCTGGGCGAGGGGAATCCCTGGGAATGAGCTCTCGCTATTCCCTGGAGAAGGGGGAGCAAGAAACCATCTATGGTGCCTATGGGGCCATGCCCGGCCCTGATGCTGACCTGCTCCTTGTCTCTGCAGGCTGACACGCTAAAGGAGAGGTATCAGAAGATCGGCGACACCAAAAGAGCCACTCCAGTGGAGGTGCTCTGTGAGAACTTCCCAGGTGAGGGCACCCTGCATGGCCGGGCCCCAGAGCACACACTGGCCTGGCGCCTGCTCCCCCTGCCCCACCTGAGCCCGCTCTGTCCCCGCAGAGGAGATGGCCACGTACCTGCGCTACGTGCGGCGGTTGGATTTCTTCGAGAAGCCTGACTATGACTACCTGCGGAAGCTCTTCACAGACCTGTTCGAGAGGAATGGTTACGTGTTCGACTACGAATACGACTGGGCAGGGAAACCACTGGTGAGTGGGAGGGAGCGGGAGCAGGCAGAGGGTGCTGGGCCCCAGGGTGCCCGGGGAGGTGGGGGGAGATCAGCGTGGTCTGAGGCAGTCGTTGCTGCCACGCACCACTTGGACCCAAGAGGTCAGCTCTGCCAGCAGCCAGCTCCCCAACTGGGGCTGCTGTGCCTAGGGGTTAAAGCTGTGCCACAGAAATAGGAGGCTCCTGGAGCTAAGGGGAACCCAGCCGTTGAGTTGGCACCTTGCTTTCTGTGATGGGCACCCTCCATGAGCTCACTGCAGCCCAATACCAAGCGTGGAGCTGCTGGGGCTGGGGTCAGGCCCTGATTTTGGGATGTTGTGCATGTTTGGCCAGAGGTTGCTCAGCCGAGGGGCACAGGGTGGCGGGTGGACTGCTGTGCTGGGGCTGATGTTGTCCTTGTCCTGTCCCCAGCCCACCCCCATTGGCACGATGCACAGCGAGGTGCAGGTGCAGCCCCCGAACAGAGACAAAGCACAGCCACACACCAAACACCAGGTGAGCAGCGGCGCTGCCCCGTGGGGCACGGGACTGCAGGCGAGCGCAGTGTGGGCTCCTGCCCACCAACCCACAGCACCCAGCGGGGCCTGGAGCATCCTTCTCCCCCCTAGTGCTGTGTGTGGGAGGCCTTCCTTCCTGCAGGAATGGGGTTGGTGGGGGGGACCAGGGCAGTGTTCCTGGGGCCAGGCAGCTGGGCAGAAGCAGGATGAAGCAGCCATGGGAGGCTGTAGCACAGTGGAGAAGCGCCAGGCCTGGGCAAGCTGCAGGGTTTGGCACTGGCTGGTGAGTGAGGGCACAGCACAGGCTGAGCCACCTTGTGTTGAGGACGATGTCCCCAGTGCCGTGTCCTTACGGGAGTAGCTTGTTCTTACCTTCGTGGTGCCACTTTCATCGGTGTGATGAGGACACAGGACAAGGGAGGGCGCTGCCTGGGCCTCGGGGGGATTTGTGGTGCAGCTTGGCAGCGTTTTGCCCCATGCTGGAGAGCAGGGCTGGCTGTGCCCTGGGAACACAGGGAGCAGCCGTGGGCAAGGAGACGGGCAGAGCTGTGCAGGCAGCTCCCTGTCTGCATCAGTGTGGGAAAGGGGCCGGGCTGCCCAGCCCTTCTCTGGTGCTATGCACTGTCCTACCCTGGAGCAAGAAACACGGCTGTGGGACTGCTGCCATCAAGAGCAGAGCCTCATGCGTGTCCCTAGCAGTCCTGTACAGACCTCATCCTCTTGCCTTGAACCTCCATGGGGAGCAGAGCGCCTGGAGCTGAGGGTTCAGCACCCTGTCCTCGTCACCCTAATGGCTCCTGGCCAAGCCTGGGTCAGCTTCCATCACAGCTGGGCTGTGCTTCCATCGGGAGAGGGTGACATCTTCCGAGCAACTCTGTCTCATTCCTGGGAACTTGCTCCCAGTAAGGTCTGCTCTGTGCTCTGCAGCACCCGAGCAACGCCGCGTTCCGTATCCCTTCTTGACAGCCCTGGGAAAAGCACAGCACCAGAACTCCCACAGCGTGGGAGCAGTGTCCAGGCTGGGGGTGCAGGGTCCCCCAGCAGCCGTGGGGCTGTGCCGGGCTCCCTGTGGTGAGGCTTTGGCACTGGGGTGCCCTCGAGGAGCAGAGCTTCGGCCCCGGGATGTTGCGGTCGCAGGGGAGCAGCCGGTGCCACCTCGGCCTGGCTGCATTCCCCCCTGCAGCTCTGCGTGGCGCTGGCTGTGCCCTGAGGGCTGTTTGCCCTCCCTGGCCTGGAGAGGACCCACACAGAGCCCAGCCCCATTGCTGGGGGGTGCGTGTGTGTGTGTGTGTGGACGTGGCAGGGGGGCTGCAGACCCCCAGTGTCGCCGCAGGGACTGTTCCGGGAGTGCCCTCCCCAAACTCGAGCTGCTCCGGTCACGTTTTTGCTTTTGCATGTCTTATTTTTCTCGACTCCCTTTGCCACTCTTCTCCTGCCCTCCTCCCTCCGCCTCTCCCTTCTCTTCCCCCATTCTTCCTCTTTCCTTTTCTTTTCTTTTCTTTTTGTTTCTTTTCATCCTGTTCCTCCTGCCTGGCGCAAGCAGCCGCCCGAGGGGACGGAGGTGTGGGATCCTCAGGCCGGTGGGCAGCCTGCCGAGGAGCCTTTGGGAGCTCACCTGGCAGCCGGCAGGCTCGGGGGGTCCGTCCAGGTACATGCACCACGCGCCGAGGGCAGGGGTGGGCACGGGGTTGGGTGGGGGGGGAGCAGAGCCCAACCTGTGCCTCATGGCTGCCGGCCCTGCCAGGGGAGCAGCCACACGTGCCCGAGGCCTGGCCTGGGCTGCACCATGGGCTGCACCATGGGCTGTAACCCATGGGCTGCACCATGGGCTGCACCGTGGGCTGCACCATGGGCTGCACCGTGGGCTGCACCGTGGGCTGCACCATGGGCTGCACCGTGGGCTGCACCATGGGCTGTAACCATGGGCTGCACCATGGGCGGTAACCATGGGCTGCACCATGGGCTGCACCGTGGGCTGTAACCATGGGCTGCACCATGGGCTGCACCGTGGGCTGCACCATGGGCTGCCCTGGCCCCGAGGCTGGCGCTGCTTCCCAGGGCTCCCTTGTGTGGTTAGAGGTGGATGAAGCGGCGCGAGCAGCAGGGTGGGCATCAGGCTCTGCCTGCCAGCAGTGCCGGACATCATGGGCTCATCCCACCTGGGGACTTCCCTGGGCCTCCGTGGTGGGAGCGATGGCTTCAGGCCCGGCTTCTCCTCCCTTGCCCTGGGCACTCCTCGTCCTCATCTCCCCGCCTCGGTCCTGCGCTCGCGCCGTCAGCCCCGTGCTCGCCGCCACCTCTCGGCCCCTCTCGGGCTGGTGAGGTCCAGCCCATGGGGCTCCGTGCTGGGTCCCCCCCCAGCTGCTTCCTTCGTCTCTGCTTCCTCCCTTGACGCTGCTGCTCGTTCCTGCTGCTCCAGTGGGGCTCTCTTGGTGCTCGGTGCCAGGCACGGGCCCGGCTCCCACTGCTGCCAGGGCAGACCGTGGGTCCAGCTTGTGCTCTGCCCTGCTTCCCCCACCCCACCACGGCATCTGCTCCTGCTCTTCTTGCTCTGCACCCTCCCACCTCATCCTCTGCCTGCGCCCGCGCTGCAGTGGGTCTTGGTGACACAGGGGGGTCTCTGGGCTTCATTCGGGGGGGTTGGATGTGCTGTTGTAGCTTGATGTGCCCCTGCTGGGCACTGCGGCTGTCAGCCTGGCCATGAGTGCGGAGGGGCTGAGCCTCCCTCACCAGCTCTGTGATGCTCCGGTGCATCCCCAGCTTGCCCCTGGCCTTGCCTGGGGGCAGTGGGCACAGGAGGGGGCATTCAAGCAAGTCCCAGGTGCCTTTGCCAGCCCTGTCCTTGCTTTGGTGACTTGGGGTCATCCTGGCACCACACATGGCCCCGCTGCCCCGGCAGGCGGGCAGGAGCTCGGGGCACTGGGCTGAGTCCCACGGGGCCCAGCACTCTTGGGGCTTGGGAGCAAAACTGTGTCTGGATGCTCAACCATGGCAGCTCCTTGGAGCTAGCACAGCTTCAGGACTGTGTCTCTGGGCAGGCTGGAGCCAGCTGCCAGCCTGCCCCTCTCCTGGTAGGTTCATGGGGTCCTGGAGACACAGAGGGCTCAGACCCCTCTGTGCCGTGGGGCTCTTGGGAGCGCACAGCACTGGGGCTGAGCACCTTCCTGCTGCCTGCGTGGGGGGCTCCCTGCTCCTAGCAGGGCCGGGGGGGGGGCCTGTATCTGCCATGGGGCTGGGGATGAGGCTCAGGACCAGCCTGCGCCCCATGGGCTGCCCCACACTGACGCTCGTCTCTCCCCAGGTGATGAGCTCCACCAACGGAGAGCTGAACACGGATGACCCCACGGCAGGACATTCGAACGCGCCCATCACAGCCCCCACCGAGGTGGAGGTGACAGACGATACAAAGTAAGGGCACAGCCCCCGGCCCCTGGGGCTGGGGTGCTCGTGGGGTTGGGGATGGGGTTGGGGATGGGGACGGTTCAGCTGCTGCCCTGTCAGGTCGTGTCCAGAGCAAGCAACCCATGAGGAGTGCCATGGCTGGCGTTGTGTGCTGTGGCCAGCATCTCTCACTGTGACAACCCTGGTGCTCCAGGTCCTGTCTCTCTGCACCCACGGGGCTCACTGAGGGTTTTCTGTCCCCCGCCAGCTCTGCCCTGACCACCGTGTCCCGGCCCAGCCGCTGACGCTGTCCCCAATGTCCCCCCTGTCTCCAGGTGCTGCTGTTTCTTCAAGAGAAGGAAGAGGAAAACCACCAAGCGGCGCAAGTGAGCGGCCGGGCCCGCGGTGGCTCCTCTCCCTCCGGCCGGGGCTGGATCTTGTCCCGCAGAGCCGGTGGCGGCCCCTGGGTTTGGCCGGGGCCGGAGGGGGGGGTCCGAGCCGGCCGGGCTCCCCCAGCGCCCCAGGCGGGGAGCGGGGCCTCCCCGCTCTGCCCTGGCCGGGGGCGGCCCCGGCGCAGCCGCTGCGTTTCCTGCGCCCGGCAAAAAGGAAAGAAAAAAAGAAGAAAAAAAAGAAAAAAAAAAAAAAAAGAAAGAAAAGAAAAGAAAAAAACTTCGTGAATCGCAGCCCCGGCGGCGCCGCGGGGGCTCTCGCTCGCACACGGGGATCAGCCCCGGACTGAGGCGGCGCTGCCGGCGGGCGCAGGCGCGGGGCGAGAGCCGCGGGCGCAGCAGGAGCAGAGCTGGGTTTTTTCTTTTTTTTCCCTTTTTTTCCCCCTTTTTTTTTTTTCTGTTGCTTCTCTGTCTCTTTAAGTTAATTTAAAGTGAGTCTCGGTGCCGAGTGCGGAGTCCTCAGTCTTTGACCGTCAGCTGCAGCGTTCCTCCCTCCTGCTCTTGCTTCTTCTGCCCCCGGGTGTCCCCTCCGCGCTGGGGGCCCGAGCGCTCGGTACGGTGAGAAGCGCCGGGGCCAGGAACCGCGTTTACAAACCACGGCACGATGCACTTTTGTGAGCCCCACGGGCGAGTGCAGGGCCTGTGGGGCTGGGGGGCCACGGCGCCGGGACGTTGGGCACCAGCCTGGCTGACACCGAAGGAACCGGTGAGCAGAGCGCGGAGGAGAAGCGGGAGCCGGCTCAGCCCCAGCGCCGCGGCGGGGCTGGGTGCGCTTCGGCACCAGCGTTGGGTTGTTGGTAGGGGCCGCCGTGGCTGCGGGGCAGCGTCGTCTCGGCCTCTTTGGTGTTACAGAGCCTTTGCCACGTGTCTGCGGGCTGGGGCTGCCCCAGGGTGCCATGGAGGAGGCACAGGGTAAGCGTGGCCCATGGCGAAGGGCGTTGGGGTGGATGGAGCTGCCGCGTGGCTTCGCCTCTGTCCTGCCTGCACCGGGCTGGGGGAAACGGGAGTTTTTCCACCTTTCACATGGACACACATGGACACACACATGGATGCACACAGACACACACGGACACCCCACACGCTCCCCCTGTTCCTCATCACCCCCAGGGCACTGCAGCTTCCCCCCGTGATGGACCCGTGCGCTGTTTGTGTATTGACCATGGCACATTGCCGGGGGTGGGGGCGGGGGGGGGGCACACTTCTCTTTACCAAAACCCTGTTGTTCTGCCCCAAGAGAGGGGCTGAGGCTTTGGGGGGGGGGGTGGGGGGGTGGAATGGGAGGGGATGGGATGGGACCATTCGTGGCTGCTTCAAGATGTTTGTCCAAATTGAGCATCTCTGGGGGAGGTCCCAAGTCAGGGGTTGGGGTCTCCCTGTCCTGGCTGTACATGGGGGCCCTGGGGAGGGCCCCTCTTCCTGAATTCGGGATTGACCCTGGTTTCGGCCTCTCCCAGGGCACAGAGGGGGAGCAGCCCCAGCCCTGGGCCACGGGCAGGGTTTGGCCTCACTTCCCAAGGGGGCAAAGAAGTTGTCAAAATCGCCTTAAATTGTGCCTGGGAACGGATGCTGCCGGAGCAGCCGAGGAGGAGCCTCAGGGCCCTGCAGCGAGGAGCCCCCGGCACTGCGGGGGTACTGAGGGCGCGCGGTCCATCGCGAGTTCAGTTTCTGCTTTGAGACAAAGTGGACAGAAAACGGCGTTTTCGGGGTCTCTGACGCTTCCTGGAAGCCATAGGATTTAGGGGCTTTTTTTTTTTTTTTTATAAAAACCATTAAAAAAATCAAATAAAAAAAAATCAAACCCTACCCGTGCCTCTGTGCCTCATTGCTCAGCGCCGGGCAGGGAGACACCGGCCCAGCACCCCCTTCCCATGGGACCTGGGCCAGCAGCGGGTTCCTCAGCCCCTCCATGGCTGGCTCCAGCTCCCAGCCTTGCTGCAGGGTGAAAATGCATCCCCTCGTTTCTCTCTCATGTGTTGGGGAGACCGAGGCTCCAGCATCTCCCTGCCCATCCCGGCTCTCCCCATGGCTCCCGGTGGAGCTGTTCCCATTTCAAAGCCGGGAAGCTGGTGGGCCCAGGGTGGGCAGTTCCAGCTTCCTTGACCACAGCACCAACGCATCGCAGAGGGACCAGGCTGAGGTCCCACTCTCCCCACCCAGTACATGGATGCTCCCAACAAAGCCTCCAGCCCAGACTCTTGGATGCTTCATAGGAGAGCACTCACAGAGGGGAAGCCGAGGACCCCGTGCCCTTGGTGGCGGTGAAGGACGTGGTTGCCCCCTCCACCTTTCCATTGATGCCCCATCTGCTCCCTTCAATTCGTAAGAACCAACGCTCCCGTAAAGACAACCCGAATGTCTTTATTGATTTCCTATTTACAAATCACAAAGCTGGCCAAAAGCAGAGTGTGAACACGGAACGAGAGCGTCGATACATTCATCAATACAGCACTGGAGCGGGGGCAGGCCCGGCTCCGCTCGGAAGGTGACGTGGTACAACAGGATGGCTCCTACTTCTGGGCACGGGCATGTCCAACACGGAATTACATTCACCTATCTACAGAAGCCAGGATTGCATTGAGCTGCGGAAAAGCCGTTAAGAACAGAAGCTGCTCGGGTGGCGGCGTTCAGTTTGCTCCTCCCCGCCTCAAGCCACCACACCTACCTCATGGGCGACGGCCGGAGGAGGGATTTGGGAAGAGAACCTGCAGCTGTTCCCGGGAAGAGCAAGGCTGCCACATTCCAACGATTCCCACTATTGCCACGTAGGTACAAAAGGCCCCGACGCTGCTCTCGGGTGCCAGCAGCGAAGTTCCCATCACCCTTGGGAAAAGGAGCAGCGCTGAGCATCCCAGAGGACACCTCCCTCTCGCCAAGGAGCGTGCCCGGACCATGAATGCACCTCACAAAGCTCGCATTGCACAGAGGCAGGTTCAATCACGAAGCCATGGACCCATCTGGTTTTCTTCTCTTTTTTTAAGTACTGGCCATATCAAAACCATCCTAAACCCTCGCGCAGGCCCACGACAGACACATCTCCCAGCGCCTTCCTAGAGAACCTAACCCGCTACGGATATCTCTACGAGCTACTGGAGAGGAGGAGCAGGGTGTTCCTGGCAGTGCTGCTGCTGGAGATGGATACCCGGCAGCCACAGGCCACGGGGAGCAGGAGGAGGTGAGCCGGCCCCAGAGAGCACACAGGCACCGAGCTGTCCCTACCAGCAAAGGAGAAGGAGGTTTCAGCTTTGAGCAGCTCAATGCAGGGTAACTGCTGCCCGCTGAGCTCCACAGCGCGTGCCTGGAACCAAGGGGGAGGTTTGTGAAGAGGAACCTCAGCTCTAAGGCAGCACCAGCCCCACAGCGTGCACTTGGGAAGGCTCCGGCCGTGCTGCGAAGCAACACTTCAGTGACAGCTCCTTCTGCAGCAGAGGGCACAGCCTCGTGGTCCTCAAGGCTGGGCAAGGGCAAGGGCAAGGACAAGTCCCCCACCTCCCTCCCAGCAGGACAGCACAGCCCTGCTCAGCCACAGGTGTACCTGCTGGGGGGGGAAAGCAACCACAAACAGCAGCTCAGAAGGGGCATCTTCGAGATGACCAAGCTCTGGGGCCTAAGGCCAGGCAACATCTGGAACTGCCCCCTCCTCCTGTGCCTGGCCAACCGTTGGGCTGCGCAAGCACACACAGGCAAAGAGAAAATCCTTAATGTTTTCCTAGCTGCTCCATAAAACCCTGTCCCTCTGCTGTGTTACCAGCGAAGGGGCAGTGGCACATCGAGCCTCTCTGCCTGCTGCGCATCCGACGTGGCCCAGGGCAGGTTTAACCATGCTCGCAACAGAGAGAAACTGCATTGAAACGTGCATGAGAGCAGCAGCAATCACAGAAACAGGGGCAGGGCAGGCAGCTCCCCTGCTCCAACCGACAAACCCGGCCCTACCTGCGAAGGACTCGGCACAGTAACAATTACTGTGGGCACCCTGGGGTGTCCGAGGCTCACCCCTTGTTCGGAACGTGCTGTGGAGCTGGGAGGAAGCGCCCCCAGGACCCAGCCTGCACCCAGGGCAGGGCCAAGCCCCGTCCCTGCTCCGCCAGGAGCTCCACTCACCGTCCCCAGGAGCAAGGATTGTCACAGAGCAGGGAGAGGAGCACGAGGAGGCCGCAGTCTCTCCAGTTCTGAGGTCTCCCTCAAGACCCTGTAGTGCTGGAACAGCGAAGCCTCGGGGAAAAAGCCACTTCCCGAAACGTCCTGCGTGCGTGCGGCGGCTGGCGGGACGAGGATGGGGCCACCCAGCCCTCGAGCGTGTCTTTCTGCAGGGTTATCTCCTCACAGCAAGTCTCACCACAACCAGAGCCACTCGTTTCCATGCTTCTGACCGGTGGAAAAGCATCTACATTCGTTACAGTCCGAAAAACGCACGTTGTTAGATAGGGTTAACCAGGAAAGTGAAGAATGACTAGCCACGGACACCTACAAATGGTACTGGGGTACCAGTTAGTCTGGTACGTGATAGCAGCAGAATCACTAGCACAAGGCAAAACATGAGCTTTGAAATGATTTTACTGAGACCTTTGGCTAGTGTGGCTCCAATTGGTGTGGGCAAACTCAGCCAGGAATTTAGTTTGGAAGGTCACGGGGAAGAGGAGAGAGGAGTCCGGCGCCAGCTCCGCAGCTGCACTATGTGTAGAAGATGATCTCTGGGATTTGTCCATCCTCCACGGAGGTGCCGTTGTTGTTCCCAGCCGCGTAGCAGAACGTGAAACAGGTCTTGGCTCCCGTCGTCGGCGATTCGTGGATCACCTTGCGCAGTCCTTTGGTGCCATAGTGGGAATCTGGACCCTGTGATGGGTGCAGAAGACCCAACAGATGAGGCAGGAGCACCCGAGAGGTTTGGCCTCACAGCCTGGCCCAAAGCACCCAGCCGGGGAGGTCTCAGCACCTCCCTCTTCTAACCTGGCTCCTGCACCCCAGGGATTTGGGGCAAAGTTCTCATCTCGCTCAGAACGTGCCACTACACTGAACCGGATCTCAACAGTTAAATATTGACTTCTTAAGGCCACTGCAGGCAGGCCCTGGCTTACAGACCTGCAGCACCGACGGCGTGTCTGTAACACAGAAACAACCCCAGTGCTTCAGCACTAACACAGCCCTGTTCACCGTGGGGCAAGTTCAAAACCACCTCTGGGTGCTGC